GAGTAACGTACCAATAACACTTTCAAATACATTTTTTTCAATATGCATAACATCAAGAAAATGTCTTACATACAACGACTTCCAATACGGCAACTCAAACAAAATTGACCTCTTCTTCCACCCACGCGTGACAAGCGTATGAGCAAAAGGCTTGCCAAACTTAGTACTCACATCTTTCACCTTTTCAAAAATTTGTTCGCCGGTCAATGTAGGTGGAGCTTTACGTTGTTCTGAATTTCCATTGAATGCTTCTCTCCACCCACGGTAGTGATGACTAGAATTTAAGAATCTACGATGACCAAGAAAGACATTCTTCTGACTAAATTCCAACCGCGTCCAATCTGTGTTTTCTTCACAGATAGGACACGCACATTGACCTTTAATGCTATACCCCGATAGATTTCCGTATGCTGGGAAATCATTAATTGTGCCAAACAACATCGCCCTCAAATTGAAACTTTCTTTACTATATCCATCATAAACCTCCACACCATTCTCCCACAAACTCTTTAAGTCTTCGATTAGAGGTGTCAAGTATATGTCTATGTCATTCCCTGGTTGTTTAGGGCCAGAAATTAACATAGATAACATCATGTACTTACGCTTCATACATATCCATGGAGGTAGGTTATAAATCATGATAATTACAGGCGAGGTGGAATGTGAGATACTCTGCAGACCATGCGGATTCATTCCATCAGTCGATAATGCCAAGCGAAGGTTTCTAGCTTCTTCTCCAAAATTAGGATAATCATTATCAATTTTCATCCACTGTGGTGAATCTGTCGGATGTCGATACTTCCCATCTACAATTCTATCATCTGCATGCCAAGTCAGGTGTTTTGCATCTGTTTCACTATGAAACATGCGTCTGAATCTCGGAATTATAGGAAAATACCATAATACTTTTGCTGGTGACAATTTTTTCTTATACCGAGATACACCGCATTTAGGACACTCGTTTAATGATGCATATTCATTTCGAAACAAAATGCAATCATTTGGACAAGCATGTATCTTATCATAGCTCATGCCAATAGAGCATAACATTTTTTTAGCTTCATAGGTTCGATTGGGAAGAACATTATCCTTCAGAAGCATCTCTTGAAGTAGGGCTAACAACTCTGTGAAACTTTTATCTGACCATCCATTACCCGCCTTTAAATTGTACAACTTTAATACCGCGAACAATCTTGTGAAAGTAGTGCAACCTTTATACAACGGTTTCTCTGCATCGCTTACCAACCTCTCAAACATCTTGGGACAATCTTGAAGATCGTCTTCAAGTGCTTCTGCAATCTCTTCGACTCGATCACAATCATATGTATCCCTGCCATTGTCCTTTGAAGCACATGTCGTATTATTCCGGGGTTCAACATTCTCGTTACTTATCTCACCATGTAATGTCCAACATGTGTAACTTCGACCAATTCCATGTCTCATTAAATGAGATTCCAACTGAACGGCGTCAACTCGACGCCCATAACAACATCCTAAGCAAAGACATGTGATCCTACTGGGGTCTTTGGCGTGTTCAACAGCGAACTTAACGAACTTCGATACCCCATTCTCGTACTCTTTTGACAATCGATTACCAGACTTCCATTTTTTATCCATACTAATTGAGTAATCTACACTAAACTATGAAAGTTAAACAAAACAGAGAATGCCTGTAAAGAAATCACTAACTTCTAAGAATGCTACACAGTAGGATGCTTGGAAACGATCACAAATTTGCTCTTCATAGGTAACCCCTATAGCAGACAAAATATAAATTTTATTAAAACCATATTAATAATTAACCAAAACAAAAATACTAGATAATCCACTAAAACAAATCATATTAAAAATACTAGATAATCCTTAAACCAAAATGACACCCTTACTAAACATTGAGAAATCCTAACTAAACATATAAAACCATAATAACATATCATATAAACATTGAGAAATCCATAATAACATATCAACATATAAAACCATCAACATATAAAACCATAATAACATATAAAACCATATCATATAAAACCATATTCATGTTGGCTACTCTCTTAAAAAATACAAATTTCCAAACTATTAAAAAAAATATGCTCTATCAAGTTACATTAATATTTTTAGCCATCATTATCTAATATTTTTGTTATATTCAAATTAGAAGAAATCTCATTTGTATGAGTGGTGCTAGATGAATTATCCATCTAAGTTCAAAATAGCAACAAAATAAAAACAACATCAATCTCAATCCCAAAATAACAATAGAAAAACAATAACACATAAAACATTTTGAGTTTAGGCTTTTAACAACAACAACAACAAAAACAATAGTATACGTAACATATCTACACAAACCCAACAACATTAGTGTTAACATCATATCAAATATCATACTTGAACTCAAATTTACTTGCATGTCCTTAAACCTTCAATGCAAAACAACACTAAAAACCTTCACTAAACCTTCAATAACTCAATAAAAACAACAACAACAATAATATTAAACCTTCAATGCCTCAATAACAACAAACCTTCGCATTGCAACAACTATATCAAACCTTCAATATCTCAATAAATTCAAAACCTTTAATATCTCAATAACAACAAAGAGACAATAACACATAAATGCTTAACTCAGCAAACCTTTAAAGAATTTGATCAATACATATAACCACTATAACTCAGCAATGCCATATACATATACCTTCAATATCTTAATAACAACAAAGAGACAATAATACAAAACCTTCAATATCTCAATAACACAAAACCATCTATATCATCAGAACAGAAAAATCATCTATATCTTCAAATACCAACAATGGTGAAAAGATAAATAAACAAGAAAACCATAGTAAAACTTCACATACCGTAACAATGGTGGAAATGCAATGCAGACAGACGAATGCACTCGAAAACGGATGGTGAACGGCGGCGCAATCCAACGGAAGAGGGCGACGGTCGGAAGGAGGATGACGGCAACAAAATGTTTGAATAGGGCAAGTTCGTTCGCCAGAGGAGAAAGAAAGAAGAACAGAAATGTACGCAACTGTTCTGTTTCTTTCTAAATTCTAGAGGGTATTTTAAAATTATAATACTAATACCTATAGCAGCGCTTTTTAAAGGCCTTTAGCAGCGCTTTAAAAAACGCTTTCATAGGGTGCCTTAGTAATGCCATATAGCAGCGCTTTATAGAAAAAGCGCTTTCTAAGAGTCCCCCTTTAGCAGCGCTTTTTAAAAGCGCTTTCATAGGGTCCCCCTTTAGCAGCGCTTTTTAAAAACCCTTTCTTAGGGTACCCCTTTAGCAGCGCTTTTTAAAAAGCGCTTTCTTAGGGTCCCCCTTTAGCAGCGCTTTTTTAAAAGCGCTGTCTTTGGTAGACAATTTTTTTTCTTTTTTTTTTACTCACCCTTTAGCAGCGTTTTTTTAAAAAACGTTGTCTTTGTATGCGCTGCTAAAACTCATTTCTGGCGTAGTGGTTGTATGCTACTATTTTTATTCCACTATTGTTTAATCTGATTTTTGAATATTGAATGAGACGTTTTTGTCTAAATATGATGAGTTTTGTTGTTATTTAATAATGTAAAAATGACTAAACACAAAATTATATTGATCTCTATAGGTGTAAGTATGTCTCAATAAAAACCTTGTAAAAAATCGAACCAAATGAAGAATACAAACCGCATTGATTTAGTTTGGTTTGGCTCGATTTTATTTCTAAAAGGCAACATATCCAAACTAAATCACATGCATTTTTCTCTTGCGGTTTGAATAATTTTTAACGCCAAACCCATGTTAACTGCAACGCAAAAGAAGCTCAAATTAATATTTGCAAGATAATTTAAAAATGCAACAAGTTATTTTAGGCATCATTTAAAAAAAATCAAACTTTCATTACTCAGACTATATAGATTAATCCATTGAGTTTAAAAGAATCATAATAGACAATAAAAACTTCTTTTAAAAATTTTTTAAGACTAATGCAAGACCGATCCAACCCATATTAAGGTTTAAGACAATTTTTAAATTGTTAATAGTAAAAAAATTTTAAAAATAATTTTTTATTTAAAAGTCAATATTTTATATTTTTTGAATTATAAAATTGTTAATTAAATATGATAATAAATTTTGTTCAATATTTTATGTAAAATTTCAAGTATTTTAATTTTAATTTTATAGTTTTTGATTCAAAATTTTAAGATACATTATTTTAAACAAAATACTAAACATTTTACAATAAACACAATTTTAAATCTAAATAATAAAATGTTAGATAAATTAAAATCTATTTGTATTTTTTTGCAATACTTTTTATCTTTCTACTTTAAAAGAAAAGTGGGAGCACAATGGTGGGTGTTTATATATTAAAATAAAAATATAATACTAGATAGATTTTCGTGAATAAACAACAACACAGTAATTTTAGTCATTGATACACATTCATGATAGTACTAGTTAGGTAAATATGTGAATAAATTAGATCTTAAACATAGTCTGCTAATAATAAAGTGTAGATATTCTCACTTTATTAAAAAGGAAAAATAAATATGATAGGAATGAAAATTAAATAGTATTAATTAAGTTTTTCTTTAACATGATATGATATGCAATGAAGTTGTAAGTAATTAGAAATAAATTTTGAGGCCTTAGCCAACTGACTGTCCCTAAAAATGGGCCACCCAAAATTTTTGATTATAGAATATATATCTTACCTTTTGGATATCCATTAACTTAATTACATATAATTAAAATCATATATATTTATGGTCCTTTTGATATCCATTAACTTAATTACATATAATTAAAATCATATATATTTATGGTTTGTGACTATTTATCTCAAAATAAAATCTTCCCTTATATAAGAATGAATAGTTATAGTTAGAATTTAGAAAGAACCCGCCAAACCCAAACCGGTATTTTTTATTTTTACACATTAAGCCCTTCCATTTTTTTCAGTTTCACAATTTGGACACAAACTTCTGTTCTCCGATCAGAGCGAGTCGCGATGTTCTTTCTTCGAGTTCACTCAGTAGACGCCGAGAGCACCCTCGATCCCGAAATCATCTTCTCAGCTCCCGAATCCCAAAACCCTAAATTCAGCGAACGCAGAGGCGTTCTCCATCTCTTCCGAACCGCTTCCGAATCCTCTCTCCCAAACTCCAGTTCTCTTTCCTCTCTCCTTTTCATCGTCGCCGTCCCCAATTACCTCTCCTTCGACGACTTCATTCGTTTCTGTGGACCACACCATCTCGATCATCTTCATCATCTTCTCTTCATCAGGTACTGTTTCAATTCTGTTTTTGTTACTTCATTTTGCAAAGTTCTGTTTCTCTGTTGCTTGGTAGGGGCACACACTGTACTGCATTTTTAGGCTATAAAACCCTAATTTTTACCTTAACATTGATCTTTATTATGACTTGGCAGGAACGATGGGATGGAAGATAGATATAGTGTTTTGATTAGGTTTGATGACCAGCTTGCTGCAGATGGATTTCATAGCAAATTCAATGGGAAGAAATTTTCTCCGGGTGAGGTGAGTGATAATGGGTTGCCATAAGTTTATACTTGCATTTTTAATGGAATTGAAACCCTAATAAACCCTAACAAAATTTATTAGTTTCCTTTGTATGTGTAAAAAGTCAAAAAAATGCTTTGTATGGGTAAAAAGTCAATAAATGACACTTAAAAAGAAAAGAAGAGAGTACTTTTGTCGATGCCTATATGGAAGTGTTTAATTCTGACTCATCTTGAAACAAATTTTATTTGCTAAAATGACCATCATTTTGAAATGGAGGGAGTATTGATTAGGGTATAATTGAAAATAAACAATAACAAATTTATCCAATGATTTGAAATGAATCTTATATTTAGGGACTAGTATTTATGTGCATTTTCTCAATAGTTGATACTTTTGTCATTTTTCAAATTTTATGATCTTGCTTATTACTCATCTCTCTCTTTCCCTTCCACTTTTCGAATGATGATCAAAATGTAGGCAGAGATATGCCATATTTTGTTTTTGCTTTCCGTGGAGTACTCGGAATGTGAAGAAGTTGCTGGGATTCCTCCTGCCGGTTGTACAGAAATACCAACTTGTCCAGTTTGTCTAGGTGAGTTTCATTTTTCTTTGTTCTGACCCTCTGTTTGCTTGAATCTTGTGGACTCTTTTTTAGTTTGCCTGAGGTGATTGTAATTGTATGGATTGATATTTATGGCGATATGCGTCTTGTATTTTTCTGTTTGAATGCCAGAGAGACTGGACCCTGATACCAGTGGAATACTCACAACACTTTGTGATCATTCATTTCGATGCCCTTGTGTCTCAAAGTGGACATATCTGTCTTGCCAGGTATGTAGATTCTTCAGTGCATGAAAATTGAAATCCTATTTTGACATTTTATTACTCTTTACAGTTTTAGTTGGCACATGTATTTCCATTGTCCTAACACATTAGCTTGTCCTTAAATTCTTAGATCTTGGGTATTCGGCAGGTGATAATGATTCTTCATAAGATGCCTGGTCATTCATCTGGCACAAATTTTTTTGGTGTTATATTGGCTAACCATGATATTATCTTTAGGTTAATTTGCATTGAGCATTGATTAATTTTCCTCCTTTTGGATATATTCAAATGTGTTTAAAAGTTTATCACCTATTGCTATTACCTGCAAACTTGAAACCCATCATAGTTGTACTCGGGTTGTCACAAGCTATTCATTAACAATAATTTAAGAACACATTTGAATTGAATTCTATAACTTTATAATTTTGGCACTCTCTTGGGAAGTTGCGAGGCTCCTGAAATTTTGTTTGTACATCTTATTGTCACGTTAATACACTTTTTAAGTCCCAATATGAATGGTTTAAAAGGTAGCAGAATTTTTTTCATAGAAAAAATAATTTGAATCTTGCAAAAGCTCAAACTCTTGTAAGATAAAAGGTGCATCATACGGGAAAAATATTTCCTATCAGTTTTCTCCAACCTAGGAAAAGCTCGTGAGCTTAGTCTTTCATTGTCGAGAAACGAAAGAAGACTATCTTCTCCAAAATTTATTTAGACATAGTTCACTTCCTGTTGGGTGTGAAGTATTGTCAAACCAAACGAGCCAAAATTGATTGAATATCTAGAAAGGTGTTCAAGTCGCCTGTTCCAATTCAAATACCTTGCCGTGACTTCACTCCAAACACTAGCCTTGCTTTTGGCGTCCTCCTTCTCACGGTCAAGGTAACAACTTCAAACATGGCCAGCTTTCTTGCACATTCCAGATATTTAAATTGATTCCGTGTATTTCCCCCCTAATTGTTATTTTGAAGTTGGGATGCAAGTATTCATTGATCATTTTTATTTTCTAAAGAACAAGAAAGGACGGAAATTAGAGTGCCATCTCTGCAATAATGATTACATATAGAGTGATTGTGTTTGAATGGTAACACAAACACTTTGCCTGTATTTTATTAGTAATTTTTTAATGTTTCATTGACTGAAATTCCATGTATGTCTTGGCTACCTAAAGCAGTGATTTTATTGGTAATGCATGTGGAAAATATTGTTGTATTGATGGAGAGTACTATTGTAAAGAACTTATGATGTCTATACTATAGGTCTGTCAATTCTGTCAACAACAGGACGAGAAGCAAGCCTGTTTTATTTGTGGAACATTAGATGATGTCTGGGTTTGTATGATTTGTGGATTCGTCGGATGTGGAAGGTAACCTATTAGCGTCAGTTCTTCAATTCCTACTGGTAATAACTTGTGTACAAAAATCCCTAGTTAATATGTTAAACAAAACAATCATAATTTATTATCCTTAATAGGTTATATGCTTTTGTTTTGTCAGGGGAGACTTTAATACCATGATTATTCTTTTTTAATCTAGATATAAAGAAGGGCATGCTATTCGACATTGGCAAGATACTCAGCATTGCTATTCTCTTGACTCTAAAACACAACAAATTTGGGATTATGTGGGGGACAATTATGTCCATCGACTGAATCAGGACCAATCTAAAATTGATGGCAAGTCGGAGGAGATGCATTTTCGCTGTATGTCTCAGGAAGGGGATTGCGACACATGTGAATGTCATGAAGATTTGGAAGTTAATGGGGCCTTCTTTAACAGCAAAGTGGAAGTGGTATGTTTCTCATGGAAAAAAGTTTCTCCAAAATGAGCATCTCTAAAATGGGGAAGTTAGGGGTAGCTAGCCTTAACAAGTTAACATTCCAATGCACTTCAATATTAAATCACTGGTAGATACCTTTTTACTTGCTCATTTTAGTGGCAAGCTCACTTAAGTGGAGCTTATCTGTCTCACATATTGAACTCTCAATTTTATTTTATGCTGACATTAGTTGGACAGATTAGTCTGAAACACAAACTTCTGTGGTATGATTTTGTTTGCTGCAAACTAATCTCGGGCTTTATGCACGAGGCGCTCAATACCTGCACTGTCATATAGACATAGAGACAGATCCATATATTTATTCTATAAAATGGGATGAAATGAAATGTCTAATAAGTAATCACATGTGATTATCAACACCGTTTCATGGTCTGATGTCACATATTTAGTTGTTCATTGTATGGTACTCAATGTATCTTATGCTCCCAAAAGTTTTCTTTTTTATTTCCCATGCTCTGTCACTGATTAATTGATGGACATGACCAGATTATGGATGAATACAATCGTCTTCTAACATCTCAGCTGGAAACTCAAAGACAAGTAAGTTAACTCTGCCATCCTTGAAACTTTTTCTCCGAGGGGTTAAAATAATTCTGTAATCATGAAACTCTGAATTTGGGTTATGCAGCAACGGATTATTCATGCCATCAACTCTGCTGAAAATGACCAGTTTCTTTAATGTCATTGGAAGTAGGGGTGGGAATAGGTCAGGCCGATCGACAGGAGCTTACATGGGCCTAGGCTAGGCCCGACGCTTCTTTGGATAGAGAAGGCTTGAGTTTTTTTTATGTCTATTTAGTTAAAAAGGCTAAGCCACAAGCTTAAAAAAAAAGTCTTAAAAGCCCATAGAAGCAACCCACATAAGTAAATATGAATAATGCTTTTCTATTACTATTGTTATTATATTATATTTTATACTTTGAGTTAAGTTATAAATTTACCAACCCTTTTAGTAATTTAAACTTATTAATCTATATTAATTTTTATTTTGCATATTTAAATGTAGTATTATTAGTAGAACTGAAATATGATATTTATATTGTCAGATTCAATAAAATGTCAAGTTAAATACCAAATAAACTTAATTATCTCTAAAATTTTATGAAAATAAGCTGAAAACAACTTATGAACAATGGCATAAGTCGTTCTCGTAAGTTGTCATAAACCAATAGTCTCACAACTTATGTCATTACTAGGTAAGCTCAAATTAGTTAATCCAAACAAACTTTTAGTATCATTGGTTTTTACCTTGTTAGTCTATTTAAACATAAATCGAATTATTAATAAAAAATATATTCAAATGAAATAGATTTTTAAGTAAACTAACAGGCCAACCAGACTTTCAAAAAGACAAACTCAGGCCTAAAAATAAGCCTCAGAGAGACTACGGGCCTGGCCTAGACCTTGATTTTTTTTGACAGGTTAGACTTAAGTTTGATAAATCCTACCTCGGTCCAACATATTTCAACCTCTAATTGGAAGTGATGTGATTTCTAGTGTGGTTGTCAGTATCAGGTTGCTTTCACGTGTGATGAAAGACTTTGGGACAGTTGCTATGATACTCTCAATTGGTTGATCTTTAGATGCAGTAATATGATGTGTTTGTGAAATCTGATTATCTTCATACCATTTTTGTTTTAGTATTATGAATCCTTACTAATAGAAGCAAAAAGTAAAGCAGAAAGTTCCATATCTGAAGCAGTGGAGAAAGCCGCAACTTCTGGAATGCTGGATATCCAAAATGAACTAGAAAAGTGTACTGAAGAAAGAAATGCTGTTGCTGAGGTAACTTTTCTCCTGCATTTTCTATACTGTTTGCTCAAACCCTACCATTTATACACTTCATTCTTCCCTTAGGTTAATCGGAAGCTCATTAAAAATCAAGAATCGTGGCGAGAGAAGGTTAAAGAAGCTGAAGAGAGGTAATTATATTACCACTTAAGCTACCGTTTGTTTGAAATAAAGTCATATGCTTATATAACTTATTAAGATGTCAGTGAAGTTGTTTTTTTTCTTTGATTACTTCTGCACCATGTTCTCATTACATGTTTATATGTGATCATTTAGGGAAGCTGCATCAATGAAGTCGAAGAATGAGAGGATACTTGATTTGGAGGAACAGGTATTACAACTCCCTTCATTAATTCTTTGTGTTCTTTCCAGTTTAATTGTCCTTGACGGGGTTTAGCGACTATATACAAACAGATTAGAGACATCACTATTTTTCTAGAAGCACAAAAAACAATTGAGAAGATGTCAGATTCAAATGGAATAAAGGAGGGAACAGTCTTACCGGTGGTTCATGAGCAACCTTCTCCTGGAAACAGCAAGAGAAACAGAAAGCTTGGTCGAAGGCGGCATTAGTCGTAACCTCAGCTAGAGCACATTGGAATTTATTGACATGTCTAAATTTTGGGATGAAAGGGCACACTGATACAATTTGAAATTGTGATGGTAATTGACTTAACTGCTACAGGAATGCCTTTTATTTCTACTCCCATTGCAACTTGCTTGCTTTGTGAGGGGCGCTGGGGCTATGATCCCCGGATAGGGGCTGCTCACTAAACAATTGATAAATTTCATCTGAGATTATAATTACGGTTTGTTAACTTTTTTAATACTGTTCGGTAGCAATTAAAATTATTACATTAACGGTTAATTTTTGAGGAATATTTCTAAATTATAATTTCTATACCAAACATGAAAGTTTTGATGGCATTGCTTTATGCCAAGCCTTCGACCATAATAAAGCTTCCTACCCCTAACCTCTCGTCTCATATTTATTTACCAACATTCTAATACCACATTGAAATTTGGATTCACTTAAAATACAACAAATTAGACTATATTAGATGTGTATCAGGTATATATGCATAAGATAAATCTGAATTTTAATTTCTGGATATATTTTTGGGTAAATTTGGATTCTAATTTTCGGATACACTTTTGAGGCATTATGTTTGACACGTTTACTTGATAACAAAGGATGAATTTGGATTTCTGGATTCTAATTTCTGAATATATTTATGGGTAAATTTGGATTCTAATTTTCGGATACACATGAGACATAATGTTTGACACATTACTCGAAAATCCGAATTCATATATTTGATAACAAAGGATGAATCTAGATTTCAATCTCCGAATTCATCCTCGATATAGTATTCTTGACAATTTTTTGATACATTTGCTATCAGAGAGGCTATATCATTCTTGACAACTTTTTGACACATTTGTTATGAGAGGGGTGTATCTGGATTCATATTCCCAGATGCACTTTTGGAACAATATTGTTGTCATAAGTTATTATAGAAGTTTTTGATAACATAAATTATAAGTCATTAGTAAACTAAAGGGGTGTATCTGGATTCGGATTCCCATATGCACTTTTGGAACAATATTGTTGGCATAAGTTGCTATGGAAGTTTTTGATAACATAAATCATAAGTCATTAATAAACTAAATGTCAATTTTAACAAAACAAAAACAATGATTTTTCATAAGTCAATCATACAGATCACTCATTTGCATAAGTCACTCAAACATCAGTCATTTGCATAAATCATACATCATTCATAACATTAAAATACAATGGTTGGATATATCCAACTCTCATGTTTCTCCTTTGTCTCCTATACTGCATTTTAAATCACGCCTCTGATATTATCACATCCAAAGTGACTCTTTTAAGAATGTTATTCTAAAACTCTCATCTAGCTACAAGGTCTCTTTCAAGGGCAACAATATGGTGACATATAGACAAAACATCCATAACATGATTCATTCTTTCGCGTTCTTCTTCTAGTAACTCCCGATGAACTGGTTTAAGAAATTCTCTTCTGACACTAGTGTCATAAAGGACATGAACCTCTATAAAATTATTAGATGCATTTGTATACCATACTCCATGCACGAGAAACTGACACACTATGTACATCCTCTAGCATCAGATGCTCTTGGCAGGTGGAAAATATTGCATCACCATCTCTACAGAGGACAGTGACAAGAGCAGCAACTGTGGGGTCACTAGATATACTCTACAAACATTCAAATTGTTGCAATACTTACTCAGGTATATGTGGGTACATATGTTGAGACCCATAAAGCACCATCCAAAATACCTGGATTTCACCTCCATAGGTCATGTCTAACAGTGCGGTCTATATGACAAGAAAAATATCACCCGTTAGAATGTGGTCAAGAGAAAGTTTATACGGTCCAGTCATTGAATTCCTTATGAGTGGGTTAATCTAGCAAGCACATGACATCTCTTTAATATAGATAAAAACATATTTTCAACCAACAATATTTGATAAATGTTGGAAGATCCATGCCCAAAACTGGTTCATAAAAAATATAAGAAAGAATGTAGAATAAATAGTATGAAATATATAAATGACATGTAAATCAATCACCCAAAATAGATAGTTGCATCTAACCATCTGTCTCATCTTTCATTTACTACTTTACGGTAATTTGGAGTACAAGTAAATCAAACTAGTTCCCCTCAATTGTACTAGTGAAAACCTCCAAGTTCATGAAATATTTAAGGTGGATAACATCGACATATGTCTCACTTTTATCCATAAAAATGTCTGAGTTAACTTAGATCAGAATGTATGTCTTCCATGCACACTATCTATGGTATGCAATATGTGCATCATCACTCGCAACATCTACATCTGTATTCAAGTGATTAATATATTTTTATGTTAGGAATAAAAATTTGGCAAGAAACCCTATGGCGTCTTCTATCTCTTATTAGGTCTCACTCGCTCAACTCTTAATTATGTCATTATCATATTGAGTGCCCTAGACCAATAAGTGGTAGAGTAATTCAATATTCTTACTTGTGATCGTAAGATGGATGAGACATGATACATAATCAAGGGTGATGCTCATCTCACCAATGAAAAGATGTCGATGTCTCTACATGTTATCTCTCAACAAATATAGACAAAAGATCATGGCCAATATAACCATGTTCTACAAAACATATTCACACCCGATATTACAATATGTCATGAAACCAAGGTTCATTAGATTGAGGGAACTTTTCTATTTTATTAGGCTTTATGCACTTCATTGTGTCACAGTACTACAAGAAAAAGTACATCAACGCCAGACAATACAATTTGTATAAAATAAATGTTCAAAAGAGTAATTAAACATTTGTTATTATTGGGATGCAGTGATATGTCATTTGGATCTCTAAGAAAAGCACCTAGTGTCGCAACACCTGGTCCAGTTGTTGGATATCGATCATGCGTATGTATAATAACATCATGAGCGTGAAAGGGAGTAATGAGTGCTCTGTTATAAGCCAGAGATACATGATCATAGAAAGACGGTCCTTTAGTAGATCAAGATGATTCTCCAGCAACTGACACTAATTTAGATCTCTCCCTACATACTTAAGAATGTTGAATTAGCCAACCATGTGTATACCTTGTGTTGAGTTAGAATATGGACAAAAAACAATCTAGAGGGAGGGGTGAATAGACCTCCCAAGTTAAAAAAAGATGTTTGAAAATGTTTTTATCAAAGTTTCAAAAACAGTTTATTTTATGCGGCAGAAGCAAATTCAACACAAAATAGATTATGCTTATAGATTGAAAGATTCACATATGTACTTAACCAGTTCACAACATAATCAAGTTGGACTATTGAATTACATCAAATGAAAAAACTAGTCGTATTGAAAAATCGTTCAATTTCACAAGAAGTGTTATCGAATGATTTTCAATGACACACAAAATTCTACTGTTAAAGTCTTCATACTCAATCCACACTAAGAAAATGTTAAATTCTAATTCTAACAAAAACTACAACTTATGCGATAAATTGTCAGCATGCAATTCTAGAAATCAATAGAAATAACATAATCATGCTATCAACTATGAAATTAAATGTGTGTGTGTGTGTGAGAGAGAGAGAGAGAGAGAGAGAGAGAGAGAGAGAGAGAGAGAGAGAGAGAGAGAGAGAGAGAGAGAGAGAGAGAGAGAGAGAGAGAGAGAGAGAGAGAGAGAGAGAGAGAGAGAGAGAGAGAATAGTACATTAGAATTTATAGTGGATTGACACATTCTTCCTCTCTTTGTGTTTAATCCACTAGTTGTACATTGAAAATTCATTAGTTTTACAATATGATTTGTAATAAAATTACAAGAGTTTGTAGAATCACTACTCCAAAATAAATGCTGAAAATTAAATTTCTTCTTTTGGGTTTTTTGACATGTACATAACTCTTTGAACTGAACTTTGTGCAAAATCTTTACTCGAATTCTCTTCTTAAATCTTCCAACCCCAACAACCCGCTCCTAATTCCCCGTCTGTGTTTTCATACTTTTAGTTCTATTTTATGTGTTTTTGTCTCCTTTGTTTATTTTCAGGTAATAAGAGGTAAATGGAGCGAAAAGAAGCGTTTTCCATACAAATTTCCGATACCAAAACAGCATGGTCGTGTCCCGTGACACGGGTCGTGTTGGCCCCTTTGAGCCACCTTCATACAAACAACCAGAGGCTGACACGATCCATGTCAAAATGTATGGCATTTACGAATTCTTTATTTTTGGATATTTTTTATGACCTTTTGACATCCATAACCCCATAACACTGATGACTATGATTAGTGGTAGTTAAACTCAAAATTAGTGACAATTATGAGTAACTTATGACTTGGATTAGTATAAATAAAGATTTAGGCATTAAGAAAAAGGGAGACTTAAGGGTGACACTTAGGTATCATCCATCACTTTCACCACAATCATTCCATACATTTATTGTTTTCTTGAGTTCTTAGCTTAAAGCTCTTGCTACTCTTTTGTAATGTTATGCACTTTTATTATAATCTTGCCTTCATTTTAATTCTAAGTTGTTATTTTCTTTATATATATATATATATATATATATATATATATATATATATATATATATATATATATATATATATATATATATATATATATATATATATATATATATATATATATATATATTACTAGAATAATTTTGAGTATCTTTTTATTTAAGTATTCGAGCCATAATTCGCACGTTTTTGTCGGTTATGAAAGCAAAGGCAACATGGACATGAGCATGATTCAAAAGAATATGCATCGTTGTCAGAAAACGAATTGCTAAGCAATAGAGTATCGAGGTGATCGCCGTGACAAGGAAACTCGCTCTCTATTGAAGTAGATGTTAGTCGTTCCAAGATCAACGTATAGATTACGCACGTCATGAAAGTGGGTGACACACTTTTTTTTTACTTTTCTATAAAAACTCTTAATCTAATCTCGTAATTGAGTTTGGATAAATTGTTGGGGTAAATTTAGAGTTGCAATCACAATCCCATATCCTATTTTTAT